TTATATATAAGAAACCACGTTCCTTAGATATTATATTAGTCCTAATAGACTAGGAATAGAGGAAGATAAAGTTAAAAGTATTATAGATTAGCTAACGCCTAAAAACGTTAAGGAAGTATAATAGTTCCTTAGACTGGCTAACTATTACTAGAAGATTATCGATAGATATACTAATATAGCTATAGGGCTATATTAGCTAACCAAGAAGGAATAGCCCATCTTATAGGACGAATAAGTAGAGTAATCTTTTAATAAGCTTAAAAGGCTATTCGCTTAAGGAACTATTGTCGCTATATTCGACTATAAATAACCTATCGTTATAGAAATAGATATATTAGATTACGCCCTAGGAGTAAGACTCACCTAGCTAGGGATAAATAGGAAGTACCGACTAGTGGTATTCTAGTCTAGAAAAATAATCCTAGTAGAGCTTAACTACAATATATATAATAAGGAACTCTTAGCTATAGTGTTAGCTTTTTAAGTCTAGAGAGTATACCTTAAAGGAGCTAAATATATAGTGGTGGTCCGATTAGACCATAAAAACCTTATATTCTTCACTATAATAAAAGTACTTACCTAACGATAAGTATAATAGGCTAAAACCCTAGTATAATACAATTTTAAAATCGAACACTATAAAGGAATAGAGAATAGCTAAGTAGACACTCTTAGTAGATAACTAGATTACGAGTTAGGAACTAAAGTAGCGGAACCCACTATCCTAAAATAAAATTTAGATAGAATAATCTTATATAATCGATAAATACTGGCCGCCACGCTAGAACTATAGGATAATAAACTAATCCAGAGGATCAAGTAACTAGCAGAAAAAGACTAAATCCAAGAATTAGCCGGAGATAATAGTAAGTTAGTCAGAAATTAGGAAGGAACTATCCTGATATATAGACTGATCTATATACCCTTAAGTATAAGGAAAGAAGTGATCCAGAAATACCACGATAACCCTACTCACGGATATATAGGAATAGAAAAGACTATTGAGTATATCTCACGAAACTATTATTTTCTAAATATATATCGAAAAGTTAGATTCTATATCAAGAATTACAATATATACCAAAGAAACAAGCTAGTATAATATACACTATATAGAGAAATATAACTATCTAAGACTCCCGCGAAACCATAGGATTAGATTATAATAGACTTTATCACAAAGTTACTAATCTCCGATAGATATAATATAATTATAGTTATAGTCGATAGGCTAACAAAATACGCTTATATAATTCTAATAATAGAAACTATTACTACCGATATAATAGCTAATATTGTCTTACGATATATAGTTACTAACTATAGACTACTAACCAAAATCATATTAGATAGAGATAAACTATTCACCTCTAATATATAGCAATCTTTTACGGATTAACTAGGTATTAAATTGAGAATATTAATAGCCTATTACCTATAAACTAACGGATAAATAGAGAGAGTGAACCAAACACTAAAGTAGTACCTAAGACACTACGTGAACTACTAACAAGACGATTAGGTAGGACTACTACTAACGGCGTAATTAGTATATAATAACGCTATACACACAATAACTAATAAATCACTATTTTACGCAAATTTTAGGTACTACCTAAGGGTAATTAGAACCCTATAAGGATAGGTAGCTATAGCTAAGTTAGTAAGACTTAAAGCCACCAAACTTAAATAGCTTTACCTATAGCTATCCCGGGATATCGATTTCGTTAACCTCCGAATAAAGAAATACTACGATAACTAGTATAAAGGAGGGCTAGACCTAAAAAAGGGGGAAAAGGTCTACCTACTATAACGAAACATCAAAACAAAATAACTAAGCGATAAACTCGACTATCTACAATTAGGACCCTTTAAAATCGACGAAAAAATAGGATAAGTTAATTATCGATTAAAACTCCTATATAGTATACGAAAATATTACCTAGTATTCTATATCTTATTACTCGAACCCACATTAAATAATACCAAAATCGCTACTAATATAGAACTCGATATAGAAACCGAAGAAGAATATAAAGTCGAATATATCCTAGCAGACCGATAGTACAATAGTTAGCAATAATTATTAGTACAATAGAAAGGTTACCCTACCTTAGAAAATATATAGGAACCTATCGCGAATTTAAGGGGCTACCACTAGCTCGTTCAACAATACTACTAGAAGGTAAAGCGAACTCCGGAACTACGAGAGGTAAGGAAGACTCGGAATCCTAGAAAGAAGAAGGGAGACTAATGATCTCCGACAATATCCGATCGAAGTTAGGATAATCGGTAGTAGCGGCTAACTACTCTAGATCTAGAGTAGAGGAGGAAGGCTACTTAGGGGACGAATATTTTTTATCGAGAATTTAAAGAAGCTTAGTATTATACTCTAATATTTTAAAACCCTTTTGTTTTAAGAAAGCTATTTATTTTCTTAACTATCGCTAACACAATATAGCCTCTTGATATTATTTTTATTTATTCAGTAATTTTTGGTATAACTCCGTAAGATAAGATTATAGCGTAGATAACTCGGGCTCTAGTAAATCAAGCTTACTTTTATTCTTTTTAATATTAATAGAAAGTTTATCTTTAGCGTCACGCAATAGATCCCACTCACGAGAAGTATAGAAATCTTGTTTACACGACCTACCTACCCGCGTGTAGGTAGCACACTTAGAATAACAACAAGAACGATCTATTACGCAAGATATACCTAAACTAAGGTAGTGACTATAAGGAACAGTAGTTACAAAACTATTCGCCTTAATATAGTCCGCTTATATACGATAAGTAACTAAAGAATCACGAGGGAGCTTAGGAGTACTTTCCAAGATAGAATTAGCCTTACGTTTAGGTATAACGGGATAGGAAGGATAGGAGATCTAACTCACCGAAGGAAAGGGGGGACCACAGATTTATAAGCTTCGAGGACAAAACTCCTAGGAAGGAGGAGGTGATATTACAGACCTATTGGGTACCTAACGACCTAAACTACCCCACCAGCATTATAGGCTATCGAGAGCCAATCAACCTAGATTATATACAAAGGACACCCTAGCTAACCAGAAATCGTGTTATATAATTATATAGGTAGTAGACCGGTCGACGGTAGAACGATAGATTCCGCTAAGACAAATCTACTAAGCTACTATCTACCCAACTACCCCCAGGAAGATAGGAGGATATATAAGGACGTTCATTTATATACTTAGTCTAGTTCTTTATCTTCAATCCTACATTGTTACTTATACATACCTATACAGACTTACGACTCTTGACTAAGATATAACTTGACAAACACTACGAGCTAGACTAATACCCCGGTATAGATCTACTCGGCGCTCTACCTGGCATCGATTCCTCGACACGACTTCTAGGGACTTAGGCTACAGTAAGGCCTGCGGATAAGGTAATAGCTTAGTGACGACAGGCGTATCGTTGACGTGGGAAACCCGAGGTGTATTAAGGTAACTATACCCTGAACCGCCTAACCTAACCGTGACCAGTTAGCCAGTGCGTAACACTAAGTTTCTAGCTAATTACTATCCTTATTGTCCAAATTATCTATAAGATAACGTTTAAGGTCCTCCCTATTATACGAATAAATTATATAGTTAATAGACCCATATAAACCACTAGGAGGCAGGAAATCTATTATTAGAAGACTATATAATACCACTATATATTCTAAGTCCTTATTGTGACTATTCGACCCCACTAATTTCTGAATAAATATCCAAGGGGTATACCCTATATACTAAGAAAGAATATTATATAGTATATAGGTAGTAATAGGCCTATTATATACCTATAGGGCTATAGAGACAATATATATAGTGATATCGCTATACTCGATTATAAATTAAGGGTTACTTATTATCTTATTAACTAGATAGTTAGCTAGATATCTACTATATATTATATTAGAAATAACTTACAAAATCGAGTTATAAGCTATAGTAATCTTTTAGTGGTAGGGTTAATAGGTATTACTAATATAGCTAGAAAAATAAGGAGGTAAAAAACTATTTAACTTAGTGGTTAGTAGAAATAAAAATAGACACTAGCTTTTTGTAGGTTATATAGTAGCTATCGTTAAAGATCCTTTAGAAAGAAAATCCCCTAAAGAATAGTATAATAAATATATACTATACCATCCAAAGAATAATATAAGTTATAAATAATAGACTTAAGGACTTAGTACTAATATATAGGAATATATATATTTCTAAGGCTTTTCTATATATAGTGTAGTATAAATATCTCTTTAAGGAGTCATAGATTACTCTCGAAACTAAAGAATAGGGTATATTAGGCGTCCTAGTATTATTTTAGTGTAGGTAGGTAGCATATAGCTTTCTAACCCTAGTTATATTGTCTCCGCCTCTATTATAACCTATATTAGAAACTACAGAATCTGCCTTTCGTTGAGTGAAAAGAGACTCTCGTAGAATTGATTATAGTTAGGCTAATTTTAATAAAATAAGATTAGTAGAAGAATAGATCTATATATATATATATTATAGTCCTTTAAATTAGTATATTATTCCACTACTATTAGCGTAAGGAGTAAGGAGAGGGGAGAAGAAAGTATTAATTCTCTACTCTTAAATAGGGAGCTACTTATATATATAATATAGCTAGCTAGAATAAAAAAGGTATCAACTAGTTATACTATCCCGATATATTCTATATTTAATAACTAAAGATATAAAATACACAAAAGATCTATAGGAAAGAAAGTATCGGATAAGAGACTAAGAAGTAAAAACTAAATTAAAGTATAGTATTAGAAAATCTATACTCTCGAGACTTTTTAAATCAAATCAAGAAATCCCTTATCTTATACTAATACCTCTGGCTTTTCAATCTATATCAACCAAAAAAAAAAAAAAAAAAGAATAAAAAAACAATAAGTCTAACACAGCCACTAAAACTTAGATACGTAGCAGCCTATTAGGGTATCCAATTAATCCTAGGTAGTACGGCTAGGATTAACTGGTAGCTCGTGAGCCGTAGTCTTCTAGGCTGGCGATGTTTTGATAGGAGTTTATATCTATCCGCACACCGTAATAGCCTAGGGCTTTAGTCTACTTATTGTTAGAGGGGAATCCTACGAAGGTATTCTCAATAGAGACCGGAGTGTCGGTTATTATAGGCTCCAAAAATAAGTTAGCGTATCCGGGTGGTAATTCGTAGTTAAAATCGTTGATATCCTCTAATTTAAGAGGTATAGATAAGATTTCTAGAAGAGTGTCGACTAATATAGAAGTAGGATCTTTTGTTGTTCTAGCTAGGGTAGATTATTGTTTTTTATACTTAGGCGCTCCTATTACCGCTAAGACTACCTTAGTAGAGTGATCCTCTTTATTCCCCTTAGCGCTAGAGCTAGCTTTCTTAACGTAAATCACTGTACTTATATCTAAGAAGTGTGAGTTATCTACAAATCATACTAGGAGTACTCGGGATATACTAACTTTACCCCGCTTAAACTATTACTCTATCTTTCGAACCCGTAAAAGCTTATAGATAGTCTAGATATTTTTTGGGTCCTTTAGTTCGGTATTTATAACAATTTCCTTAAACTTATCGGTAGTAATACTATAGTTACTTAGCTCGCGGAGAATATAAAGAAATAGTTCGATATAGTCTAGTCCTATAAGATATTAGTATAGAGAAGAATCCCTATATAGATAGAAATATACTTTCTTTCCTTATATACTTAGGGTACTTATACTTAATACCTAAGGGCTACTACGTAGGCTTAGTCTTTTCTAGGTCACTTATAGCGGACCCTAGTAATAGCTTTCCACTATTATAAGGGTATTTAGCCTACTTCTACGGCTCGATAAACTTTATAACTACCTTAATAATCGAGGAGTAATTCTACTATAGGAAGTAGTTAAGTGTAGATCGATAGTAAATTATAACACTTTTTGTATCTCTAACTTTAAGAATGACCCTTTCCCCCTAGAGGTAAATAGGAAATTTTAGTAGGCCTCCCTATTAAACACAATTATATCTTATTCCTAGATAGACTAAGATACAGAGGTTCTAAGATTGCTGTCGCGGTCGATATATATTATGGCGTAGTGGATAGGAGGATCGGACTAGACTATAATATCAGCGAGAATCAATCAAATATATTAGTTATAGAAGATAGTTATATAATAGTAAAATCCAATCCTAAGGCGTCTTGGAGGGTAGAAGTAGCCCTCTTTATAGTATATATTATAGTATTTACTATTATAATAGTGTGTTAATTAAGATACTCGGCTATAGCCTATATAACTTATTATAGGGGTGGCTAATATCGAAAATACTTTATATCTAGAGAAAGATCTATAATTTAGTATAGAGGTAATAGAATATAGAATATATATATATACCTAGGGAGTTTCTATATATAGTGTAATATATATATATTTCCTGCTTTTATCTCTTTAAGGCGTCCTAGGAAAAGTATTCTCGAATCTAAAAAATAAGGTATAGTGGGTATCTTAGTATTAATTTAGTATAGGCGAAAAGTACCTAGCTTTCTAACCCTAGTTATATTGATATTTATTCCTATTAGAAACTTTAAAAAGAAGCACTTTTATTTACTTAAGTAAGGGAAGTCTCGTAGGATTGATTAGTTATAGCTATATTAATATAGATAAATAAGATCTATACAAAAATCGATTTATATATTTCTACCTTAGTCTTTCTAAATTCTATCTTACTTTATACGTTCTTAAGTGGTTTATATTTTATATTTAATTAGTCTAAAACGACTATACTTTCTAGTTAATAGGGGGAAACGATATAGGTTATTCTAGAACTTATAGGTTCTATATATCAAACTAATAGTTATATAGAGACCGAGAGATATCTTAGTCCTATAATATAATTAGTTCCTTAAAATAGAATAACTCAAAATTTGTAATACAGGACTTATATATAGGACACAACCACTCTAGCAATACCTTACTATATACTAAAGTCGAGTTCTAAAAATAGAGAAAACGATCAAAGCAAACTAGGTTAATAGGGCGTAGATCAGAAGCTCGGAAATTAAGTTATTATCTATACTTAAAGGTAGATAAATAGTCTATTACTTTAGATTCTAGACTATTAATATACTAGGTAGCTAAGGTACTCTTATAATAAAATCTATAGACTATTTTTGTAGCTAATATACTATATAACTATATCTCTTAAGTTCAGAAATTTCACTAAGAAGCTAAAAATCTAAAACTAGTCCCTATAGCTAGGCTTAAATTAGATCTATATTTTCAGCGTTTCCGGAAACCCCTTCTGGGTTACCTAACGCTTATTTATAAGGATCAATAGGTAGCGAATTCTTGGTTACCCCTTTAAGGATCTAAAGGTGACTTAGAGTAGAGAAGGGATCTAGAAGAATATTAGTATCACTTATTAAAGTTCGAGCCGATAGGTTAGGATTAGGCTAACTAGTGATATCTAGAGAAAATATACTAAGTATATATAAAGGAGTATATTAGTGATATATATATCGAGCGGGGAATACTACTATAAAATAGTGGTAGGTAATATCTAGAGGGCCTATAGCTTCTATATTTCTACCTTTAGCGCTATCCTCTTCTTGGTTTCCCCTAATAGATAAGGAATCGTCTTAAATAAAGATCTAGCTAGGAAGTAGTCTTTGTAGCGAGGAAGTTAGAATATAACCTATAATATTTTCTTAGTAAGCCGATAGTTAATTCGGATATAGAGAGGGTTTAGGTAACACAGTAGCGTTAATAGGTTCTTATACTAGCCGATTAACTTTTTAAAAGAAATACTATTTTCTTAGGATATATAATATCGTTATTCTTTATTGTGCGCTAGTTACTATATCCAAGGTCTTCCTATAGGATAATATAGATATTAATAGGGTATATCTATTATAAATAGCCTCTATATCTCTGGTATAGAACTATAAGGGTACCAAAGTCACCTAGTCAAAGTAAAAGCGGATACTTATAGGTATTTATATAAATAAGTGTGTATTTTGAAAGTCAATTAAATATAAAAATCTTAACTAATAAAATAGAAAAGTCTTAGATAAATATTGTGTTATTGAGTTATAATCAAGAAGTCATATAGTAATCTAAGGGTAAATATAAGTAACAATATATAATTAAAGATAAAGAACTAACTAACTATAGGAATTAAGTGTCCTTAAAATATCCTCTATAGCTACTTCCTAAGTCGACTCCCTAAGCTACCTACAGGGTAGGCTCAAGTGTTTCTCGTGAGTAGCTTCTCTATCACGTGGCTCTTATTTATCCCTCCGCTAAAAGGCGGTGTGCTCGACAATAGGCGGATTTTCTAGACAGCCCGCCTATACAATATATAGGGTTACTATCTATTAATCACTCTATAACCGCGGTGGGCTTAGGAGCTTCCCTTCTACCTCTTACCTAGTTAAGGGCATTCGAAATAGCTATCTCGGGGTTATCTCTAAACCCTATTAGATAGTTATTAATCTCCGCTATAGTTAACTAGCTAAGGGAAATAATATCTATAAATTGGCTAGAAAGCTATAATATACTATCCTCCTATATCGACCGATTATTTAATTTTCTTTCTACACTAATCGAAGGGATAGATAAAGATACCTTATTAAAAAAAGTATAAAAGAGCTACTTAGCGCTTATAGTGTCCACAAAGTTAAAGTGATATCTTTTGTCCGCCCGGCCTTCTCGAATCAAGGCCGGATCAAGCTTTTCTAGATAATTTGTAGTTATAATAAGAATATAGCCCTCCTATACTATAACGCTATTAATATAGTTTAGAAGGGCCGATAAAGAAATACCAGCGCTATCAAGCTTATTTTCTTAGCGCGAATTCTCTACTCTACTAGTATTACCAGGATCCTTTATCCGCCGATAGGAGTCTTGGCTAATTCTAGTATTATCTATATCCTTAAGGAGTATAATATAATATCTTAGAAGGCTTTAGAAGAGGCTGACTAAGCTATCTTTATTAAGCTTTTGGGAGTTTAAGCTAACTATATAGATATTAAGCTAAAGGCGCCCTATAATTGTAAAGTATATACTTAACTTTCTAGTTCCGGGAGGACTATAGAGAAGATAACCTTAGCGGTATAGTATACCACAACGCTTATAAAAGGCCCTTTCTTTAGGACTTAGGAAAGCTTCGATATTGTTTAGTATACTATTCTTGATTTCTAGAGGTAAGGCTAAAGTTGATAATAAATAAGGAGGCTTCGACTTAGTTAGAACCTAACTAACTATATCCCGTTTAATAAAACCGCGAAAGATTATGATTTTATTCCTATACCGCTAAATTAAGAATTACTATACTTCTTTTAGAAGTGTATTAAGCACTTCCTTACTCTATAAGAATAAGTAGATTGTGAAGCTTTCTATATTTATTAACTAACTATTTTACTTCTTATATAGATAATAGTAAAGCGTAATAAGATATCCCTAGTATAGGAATAAATAAAGCTTATTTTAGGAAGGAGTATAGCGGATTGGCTTAATATCTTGCTATTTTTTTAAAGAAAACCAGAAGTCCTCACTACTCTTTTCAAAGCGCTCTTACTCTTCTAAGGGATCTTTATCGGTGTCCTTATTATCTTCGTTTTACTAGGGTAAAGAAATAGTGTGCTTTAATTTAGTAATAGAACACTAGCTATAGCTTAATAAATTATTCCTTTCTATCTATTATATAAACTAGCTATATAGCTTATTATAGTATAGAATTTCTTTAGAGTAGGTAAAGTAAAGGAGTATATTTTGGACATTATTTAGAACTCGAGGAAGTATAAAGCTAAAGAATAGAGACAAAATAGCGAATAGAATAAGGGAGCCGGAGTATAAGAAAATATCGGTATATAAAGAAGAGGAAAAAAGTTGGGTTAAAGGAGAAAATCCTAGAAATAATAATTTAAAGGTAGTAGGTAGTACCTTAGAAATATTGCTATATATAATACCGAAATTTAGTGCGAGTATAGGTAGACAATAGAAGAGGGTATAGGTCTTTTATAATAGACTTAAAAGCTAATTCTACTTATAGTTAATTCTTACTTATTCGCGAGAGGCTATTTTAAGAGTGTATATAGTAGGTTAATATATTTTCTCTTATTAAATCAAATCTATCGCGATAATCTTACGCCGTAAACGTTTATATAACCTTATATTACTAACTTAGATATAATCCTTGTATATTATCGTATAAATTTGTAGCTTTAACTTTTATAGTATCCGAGTAAGAATTCCTCTAATATAGATTTATACCACGACTTAGAATCAAATATTTGTCTCTTTCAATCCCGTATTTCTACCTTATATAGCACCACTCCTCTTCCCCTAGAAGACCCTTTATAACCCTAATCTTGTAGTGAAGTTTTAGTAGGTAGAGCTCGGATAACGCTTTTCTATAAATCAAGGGATATCTATAAGTATAGCCTTTTAAGCTGTTATTGTATCTAATATAGAACTTTATAAAGACAAAGTCTAGGGTCTAGACTATATAGTTGTATCTCTCGAATTTAGTAACTTCGCTAAGGAGTTAGATATCTAAGACTAGTCTATATAGCTTAGCTATAATATAGATCTATATTATTAGCGTTTCTATCCCCTCTAGGTTACCTAGCCTTTACCTATAGGGTTATATAAGATTGTAATAGCTAGGTTCTAGGGAGATACACTTATTTAGCCTTATTATTAACTTTTTAGGATTCTAAAGGTGAATTAGAGTAGTAATAGTATTACCTATCGAAGATTTAGCCGATTAGGTAGTAGTAGGATAACTAGTATCTATAGAAAAACGCGCTTAGTATAATATCTATAAGATATATTTAGAGTAGTAGATACTACTATAAAATAGTGGCTAGTTAGGGTTTATAGCTTCTTCTATATTTCTACCTTCTACGCTCTACTCTTGAGTTTCCCTAATAGATAGGGAATTGTCTTAGATAAAGAGAAAAGAATCGATCTAGCTAGGAAGTAGTCTTTGTAGCGAGAAAGTTGGAATACAATCTATAAGGGTTACTTAGTAAGCTAATAGCTATTTCTGATAATATAGGTATAGAAAGGGTAGGGTAGTTAAGTAGCGTTAATAGGTTATTATACTAGCTAGCTAACCTTTTTAATTAAAATTTCACTTACTTTAGATATATAACGTCGTTAATTCTTCGTTTTTATATAAAGGAAGTTATTAGAGGAGAGCGAATATATTCAGATATTTACTATATTTAAATTAGATATATCCTTCGAGCCTAATAGTAGATAAGATTTAAAGCTTCCCGAATTTTGTTATTTAATTAAAGCCTTTAGGCACTAAATCTTATTAGAGCAAATCCCTTAGTCGTAGGCTCTTAAGTATATATAGGTAGTAAGGAGATAATTATACTACTAGTTCACAACTAAAAGTCTATCGATAGCCATAATAAACTTATCCCTTATTATCTCGCCACGATCTAGATAGTCTTTAAGTCCCTCAATTTAATCGACAATTTTGTTATAATTATCTAAGTCTTAGAGCTTATTAGCCGTAAAGCGTTTCACTTCCGGTCTAATTTCTAACTTATTAATATATTCTATCTACCACTAAGCACTCACGTATTACCGTAGCTATATACAAGGAAAACTAAATAAGTCGAAGAATCCACTAGATAGGAGTATATAAAACTATATAGCTCCTAAAGCCTCGGACTATTTAATAAGCTTAGAGAGTTCTATACCCTACTCTCTAGGTATTTTCGCCTCTTCCTTTACCAAAGCTTCTTAAAAAATATTAAGATAGTTAAAATACTATTTAGTGGCTTCGGGAGGGTTACTATCCTTAAAATCCCACTCTTCATTAACTAGTCGGTTATAAAGAAGCCACTAAGGAGCTAAACTAAATAGCTACGCTAGTCCTATATATACCCACTTAAGGTCTATAACCCTGATAATTATAAGATCTTTCTCACTTTTTATAATTATATTTACTAGGCCGAAATTATTGTATATAAGTTTAAAAGGCCTATTTTTATACGCTATATTTATATAGCGGGGTATTAATAATTCCACAATATTTAGTGAAGTATATTTAGAGATAGTATCTAGTTCGCTAGTGATTAAATTCGGTTAATATCGAAGTTATTACTAGTCTTAGTCAATAATATACTAAAAATACGCTAAGGTTATCGAGAAACCTATGGTTCGATCACCTTAAAAGACCTTTATTAGTAAATATAAAAGATTGATAGATTATAGATATACTAAAAGTGTTGACCCCCCTAGTCTATATAATCTCTTATATCTTCTATATTAAAGGGCGGGTAGGCGCAGAATAACTAGTCCTTAGCGTAGGTAAACTTCCGATTCGGTCGAAATTGATCTCGAAAATTTGTAATATAAAGTTCGCGATCTATCTATACAGAATCTCGAGATCACTATCTAGAATTTCTTTTTTGAGTAGCCTAGAATTACCTCTAGTGAATATATTATTTAGATAAACCCTATCGATAAAGTCTATTAAGATAAAAGGGCTAAGACCCAAAGGATTACTATTAGTAAGGCCCTAGGCTTTAATATCTAGAATAGGAACACTTATCCTTTCGCGGATAAGAGAAAGAGCCTCTACTTCTATAACTACCTTTTTATCGGCGTATTTAGGGTAAATACTCTTCACACGAGGGAAACGGAGTAACTATATAGTACTATCCTTAAAGAGAATCTTTTAACCGATATTATATAAGCTATTTAAGAAGCCACTATTCAGCTAGTAGGCAATTTATTCGGGGTAAAAGCTAGTTACCTATTCGCAAAGATACCCGTTTATTCGAAATTTATTGATCTTATCGACCTAAATATCTTCTTAGATCTGATTTAAGATATTAAGGCCTTAGTTATAGTCTATTTCTAAAGGAGCTTAACTTATAAGAGTATATAAAATAGGCTAGTGAAATAAATAAAAAGTGACACTAGGTTTAAAGACTATTTATCGTCGAGATATAGTGCTTATATAATATCTACGTAGACCGCCTTACTTTATTATACCTAAAATCAATAGTCTTACAAAAGATAGGACTATTACACAAGGATACTAAAAAATAAGAACTTAATTTTATTTATATACTATATACCCTTACTTAGCTATAGATTTGCTATACTTTACCCTATTTCTTAAAATTTATAGACAAAATATTGTTAAAAGTTTGTGCCCGCAGCCTATAGGAATTCTAGCTAAAATCTAAGCGATTTTAGTCTATATATAATAGAAATAGCCCTAATTTCCGCGTAAGTGAAATTAATCACTTAAATAAGTATAAGTAATCTTAAAGGGTCTTTACCACTAAAGCTAAAAGAACTAAGTTCTAAGTCACAAGGCTAATAGATATCTGTACTTATACTTCCTTCTAATATCACAATTTACACCCTCTAAGTGAAAACGATAGATAGCTCTTAGTCTTACTTACCCTATTCAAAATTGTTAATAAGTGAAATTTTCTTTTTTAGAACAATATAAGCTAACTAATAGTGCTTTTGTTTTGTGCCTTTCTAGTATCGCGTTCCTCTTTATCCCTAGCTAATTATACTACCTTTATTTCATAGTTTTATAGGCGCTTTTTTTAAGAGGAATAGCTAGTATCTACCACTTATCCTACCGCGGTAGATCCTAATAAAGCTATAGCGGTAGTAATAGCCTTATAGTTTTCTATATTATTGTCGGATATATCGTTAGGTTTTGGTTAGGCCTCGCTTTAGGCTAGTCTAGTTTGTGCGCGAAACCGATATATATAGGTAAGAAGATTGAGATAATAACTAAGTAATAGAACTTAAAGATAAATAGTTATATTGTAGTATTCTAAGTAGGATAGTCGCCCTACTTATATTCCTAATACTCTGCTTTTTAGCTCGAGGGATATCACTAGGATCAGCTTCCTTACACTATTATACAAACTATTTTTTCTATATTTTTATAAATACGCTAAGGTATATTTTAGAATAAGTTGACCGATAATAATAAAAAAAAGTAATATAATATATAAAAATTAGATAATAGGTAGATATAGCTATAATAAGGATCTTCCTATCATTTAAATATTTAAATAATAGGAAGATCCTTATTGTAGCTTTAGTGCTAATAGCCACACTTAAGTTTAGCTAGTTAATAAGTACCTACTTTATAAGTATAGAACTTACCTATAATCTTACAAAAGTATCGAGATTACTATAATTTATAAAAGAACCGTTTTTCTATCTCACTATTATTCCTATTATTCCTAGATATATATTTAGATAGATAGAGATATTAGTTTTATATTAGAACTAGTAGAGAATAAGTGGATCTCGAGCTATACAAAGTTCTAGGTATAAATACTAACTAATAAAATATAACTATACTCTTACGATTAGTTCTTACATTAGGCGATTAGATTCTCGTAGAGAGTGCGGTAGATTAGAATATCTATCCAATTAAATAATTTAGGGCTTAGACTAACTAATTTATAGCTAGGATAAACTTACCTATACCCTACTACGCTAAATTAACTATGCTCTCGGACAATCTATTAGTGCTTATTAGTTTAGCCCTTTAGCTTAGTCTAGAGCTATATAGAATCCTAGTGCTATATTTTTCTTTAGTTTTTAATCTTTCTATACTTCTATTCTTAAGTATAGCGGCCGCACAATAGCTAGATAAGGACCTCGAGAGATTACTCTATAAGCTTACCTATTCCCTTAGCGGGAACAAGGTTTAATTCTTCTCTACTAAATACGAGACTTATTTCTAGTATCTTTTAATCGATAAAAAGGAACTTTTTAGGCGGCTTTTAGGAAAACTTTTGAAAACTATATAAGGGGGATTTAAAGTATCTTAGCTATCTACCTACTCCTATATATTCTCCGAAGAGATAACTAGAAATAATAACACTAACGAATAACCTACTAATACCAACGCTATCTTAGCGCCTATATCTTATTCGGCCTCCTTAGAGAACACTAACAACGCGTGTATCGATTCTACTATAGTTATCGATATAGCTACTAATAATATACTTACGGCCACAAATTTTGTATATATATAGTTAATTATCCCTACCTTTATCTATTATTTACTAGTCTTATTATATCGATATACCTAGTTATTTCTTTACTATAAGTGAGCCACACTTTTCTCCGATCCGAGGAGGTATACTAGATATATTCTATAGATTATATTAGAAGGAAGGTTATTGTGATCTTCTCGAAATTTATTAACGTTTTAAACTATATAACTTACTTTTACTAGTCGTTAATCTTAGATACTATATAGGTGAAAAATAGGTATAGGGTACTTTAAATAACCTTCTAGCTATGATTAAAGCCTAATCTCCGCTACTTACTCTTACAACACTAGAAATCAAGAAATACCTAGATTACTATATTCGACTTAGATATATATATAATAAATAGGTCTAAATATTTAGCGACCCTAGCTACCTTATTACCTTACCTTTAATAGTTTCGGAGACTAAGTGAGTCAAAAACTTCTAAATATAAAGATTGTTCTAACACTTCTAAGATATATAGGAAGAGAATATTCTAAGTGTATACCCACTACTATTAATCGGCTTCGTAGACTTAGTATTAATAAGGATATAGAAGATTTAAGGCTTTCTAAACTAGTAGACTTTATCTCTAAGTAGTTATATATATAGTCAAAGCTTAGAACTACTATAAAAAGGAAAGTATCGAAATAAAAGAGAAGTAAAGTATAACTTTCTAACTCTAATAACCTAAGCTAATCTTCTATAGAGGTATCTAAGGTAAATATAGGAAACTATATATTATCTAAACACACTATTAGTAGATAATCTAAAATAGCGCTTTTAGGTACTATAGACACAATAGTACCTATAGCTTAAGATAGTATATTAAAATATTTGTTAACCTTTTATCTATTACTATTATTGATATACTTATATAATACTAAAGTATTTTGACCTAATTCTAACGCCTATAATTACTTATTTTATTCCCTACTAATAGAGGTATATATTAGTAACTTAACTACATAAAATTTATACTATATAATAGCTAACGATTAGGTAACTATAGATAGTTTAGGTATATCTTCCCTTAAGTAGTAGGAGATAGCCTATATTTTTACTAACCTCGGCTATAGTAATAGATCTTATTAACTCTCTAGAGATAGGAATCCCTCCTACTAATAGGAACTATTTATATTTAACGAGTAAGGTATTTCGAAAAAGACCTTACCTAGAGAGGTTAAGGCTCCTTTCTTTACCTTCCTTATAAAGTGTGAATCGAATACTAAGTTAATTAGAAGATACTAATCGAGTATTAAATACTTTCTAAGACAATCTATCCTTAGACAATAATCTTCTATAGCCTTACGAGGGTCTTACTTTATTGTCTTCGGACACTAGATCACAAAATATTCACAAAGAAGTATTAAACGAATTTTAATTAGAGGTATATAGAGACAAAATTTCTATATAACCTTTCGAGGATCTTGATACTAAAGTGTTAAATAGGTTTTTTAAATCTCTTAATAACAAAAATCTTGGCTATCTATCTAAGGATAATTTTTCTTAGCCCCTAGCTAAGGACACTAGATCACAAAATATTGATAAAGAGGTATTAAGTGTATATCTATTCGAGTTTACTTTCTCTTAACCTCCTTCTTAGGACACCGGATCACAAAATATTCACGAAGAAGTATTAAACGAATTTTAATTAGAGGTATATAGAGACAAAATTTCTATATAACCTTTCGAGGATCTTAATACTAAAGTATTAAATAGGTTTTTTGAATCTCTTAATAACAAAAATCTTGGCTATCTATCTAAGGATAATTTTTCTTAGCCCCTAGCTAAGGATACTAGATCACAAAATATTGATAAAGAGGTATTAAGTGTATATCCGTTCGAGTTCACTTTCTCTTAACCTCCTCCTTAGGATATAGGACCACACGATATTAATCATAAAGTGTTAAATACGTTTTAATTCGAGGTATATAGAGACGAAAATTCTGTATAACCTTTCGAGGATTTTAATACTAAAGTGTTAAATAGGTTTTTTGAGTCTCTTAACAATAGAAATCTTAGCTATCTATCTAAGGATTATTTTTCTTAGCCCCTAGCTAAGGACACTAGACCATAAAATATCGATAAAGAAGTATTAAATATATATCTATCCGAGCTCACTGTTTCTTAGCCTCCTTAGGATATAGGATCGTAAGATTTTGATTAGGTATTAAGTTCCTTCTAGTATACCTCGCCTATTAATAATAAACTTACACACTATTCTACTTAGTAAATTTCGGACGATAAGTTACGCTATATAAGTGATAGATCGAATAACTCCTATTTTGTGATACCTACTAACATAAGTTATATATAACTAACTAACTATTATTTCTTATAGTATATAGGATTTAATACCAATAAAATACGTAGTAACCTATAAAATATGATATATACTAATTAGAGGAAGACTAGTTAATAGTCTAATATTTCTTTTCTCCTAAATATAAGCCTACTACTAAAAGCGCTTTAAATAATATTATTAATTAGGAGTATTACTATAAAGGAGATTTTAGTTAAATAAATAGTGACTTCGAAAGCAAAAGTATTATCCTTATCTAGAGGTTAGATAGTTTAATTCACTTAGAATCTATAAGTAGCACAATAAGCTTAGTAC